TGTTGAAGAAATTGTGTCAGGAAAATTGGCTGTTTCTTTGGATGTAAAAAAAAAAAAAGATTTCTATTTTTTCATTATCTTTCAAAATAAGCACCAAAGAAATTAAAGACTTTAAAAATAATAAAAATTGGATGGAAATATGGGGAAATTTATTATCTTTATGAACTTGAGGATTGAGAAGGACTAACTAGATAAAAACGAAAAAGAAAATGAATTTGACAACATTAAGATGTATGACAGGAATTAAAACACCACAAACAAAGCTAAATATCTGAAACCAGAAGATATTTGTAACATAAATAACAGCCAAAATATTCATACAAGCAATGTATAAATCATTCCTATAAATAAAAACAGAAAAGATAAACAATACAAGGGAGAAATTGGCAAAAAATATAAAAAAGGAAATTCACCAAAGTAGAAACATAAGGTGCCAATAAACATAGAAATTCACCAAAATAGAAACATAAGTGGCCAATAAACATAGAAAGTATCTATGATTAATTTAAAATCAGAAAAATGAAAATTAATATAACTAGATACCATTTTCCCCTATCAGATTGTCAAAAAAGGTTTAAAAGAAATGAAATCTTGGAGTGGTTTTGATTTGCATTTCTCTAATTGCTAGAGATGTTGAGCATTTTTTCACATATTTGTTGGTTGATTGTATATCATCTTTGAGAGGTAGACGTCTGTTCAGTTTCTTGGCCCATTTACTGATTGGGCTTTTTTTTTTTTTTTTTTTTGGTGTTTAGCTTTTGGAGTTCTTTATATACCCTAGAGATTAGTGCGCTATCTGATGTGCAAGGAGTAAAAATTTGCTCCCAAGATGTAGGTTCTCTAGTCACCTCACTGATTGTTTCTTTTGCTGAGAAAAAGCTTTTTAGTTTAAAAAACAAAACAAAACAAAAAACATGTTTAAGGGCTGGGAGTACAGTTCAGTGGTAGATTTTGTGCCTAGCTTGTGAGACCCTGGGTTTTCTTAAAAGAAGCTTGGCTGAATCAGGCAATAAAGTACACACACACCAGCTGTCATCCTCTTCAAGTTCTATAAGTTACCTAGAACTATGCACAAAAATGAATGAATATTTTAAAGACAATAAAAACTAAGTTATAAACCTATAAATTATAAATCTCACTATTGGGGAAAAATACATAAAATGCAAAGGTTTTTTAAAAATCAATAAATTTGGGATGGGGAAGGAATAGTTTTAGGTTCACAGAAAAATTGAACAGAAAATAGAGAAAGTTACCAAAGATCCACAACCTCTACACAGTATTGATAGATGCCCCCCTACTATCAATGTCCCTCACCAGAGTGGTACATTTTCACAACTGATGAACCTACCCTGACCCATCATTGTCAGCCAAAGTCCAGTTTATATCAGGGTTCATTCCTGGGTTATATGTTCCACAGGTTTTGACAAACATATAATGACATGTATTCACTTCCGTAGCATCACACAGACTAGTTTCACTGCCCTAAAAATCTTCTGTTGAATTCACAGATTCAAAAATATAGTCTCAAAAGATCCTCGTCCCCTGAAGCCCAATCATGGCCTGCAAATCAAAGCCTGGACTCCAAAGAGCAAGGGTCTTCCACGCTCCCACATTAGGGTGGTATTTACTTGGTCCTGCCCCTTCCCTCCCAATCCTGGCTCATAATCTTTGCCCCACACTGGTGTAGACTTGCTGTCTACACTGACAGGTTCCACAACTCTTGAGGAAATGGCAGTAGACAGTTCTCTGTTCCATCAGGGACATCAGTCCCAGAAGAAGGGTCTTTCCTCTGATTAGGAACATTCCCTAGCAGGACTGTCATTTCCATAGACAAGTAAATTATTTACCATGACTACTGAATGACCATGTTCTATATACCTGAAGGACTTGAAATTGCAAAGTCATGCTGCTTCTCCTGTCTTTGAATTAATGGCATTAATTAAAGTATAAGAGACCCAAGTTATCCCAGGCTCATTGGGGCCAGGAAAAAAAGCCATTAGTCTACTTAAATGGAGGAGGGAGACCTCAAAGTTTTATTAGAATTTTATCTTGAAAAATGAAAACTAATAAAATTTTATTTTGTATTTGTATGTATTAACTTTAATCACCAGAACTTTGTTATATTTCTTAGGCCTAGCACAGAATATGTTTCTTCCTGTGCAATATTTGCAATTTTACTTTGCAATCAATTTGCATTATATTAAGGGTGTCCTGACACAATTTTACAAAGAAGAGAGAGAGAAAAAGAAGTGTAGACATGGAGAAAATAACTCACCATGGAAATAAGGGGTTAGGAAATCTCAATGTTGATGGGAGAGGTGAGTGGGAAAAAAAGGAGGATGGGTATTTTTTATGTAATGATGACTTTTGTCTCTCCATGAAGTTTGGGGACACTCATATAGTGATGACTCTTTTTTTTTTATGTGTGCCAGGGATTGAACTCAGGAACACTCCACCACTGAGCCACATCCTCATCCCTATTTTGTATTTTATTTAGAGACAGAGGGTCTTGCTTTTGCTAAGACTGGCTTTGAACTCACAATCCTGTCTCAGCCTCCCAAGCCGCTGGGATTACAGGCACGCTCCACCGCACCCGGGTGTGATAAATCTCAATTATATCACCCACTTGTAGAAGACATAGGGACAATAAGAAATACCTGGGAGGAGGCTGGGGGTGTAGCTCAGTGGTAAAACATGTGCTTAGCATGCACAAGGACCTGGGTTGAATTCCTCAGCACCACCCAAAAATATACCAGGGAGAAATTTGTCCTTATTTCTTTTAACCTCCTCATGGTCTCTGTTGCTAGGATTTCAAAGAAAAGTGAGACAAGGAGCAAAGCAAAGGAAACTCTATCAGGAGAGAACCTTTTTTCTTTCCTTTATACACCCACCTCCAACAGAAATGGAAGCCTTTCAAAATATATCTCACCAGAGTATCCATCTTTATGGCCCTCATAACCCAAAGCCCTGTGAACCCTGGAAGCTCTGAGCTCCTCCAGAATGTCCTTATCCACAGCACCTGTCCTGATGGGTTCATTCCAGTCTTTAACCAAGATGCTAATAATCAAAGTGTCCAATCAGCTCTCCTAGTCTGGCCTCTGGGTTAAAACAAACAATGATGCAAACTTTCCACTTCCCCTGCTGATGGTGCAGTCCTTAGAAAATGCCTTACACACAAGCTTTTAGGAATCTTCAAAATAATTCCAGATTTTAACAAATCACCACTGTCAAGCTGAGATATTTGCCATATGGCCTGCCTGCTCGCCCATCATTTCAGATTTCCTGATTTCCCAACGTCTAACAACATCAGGGGAGTCAGGAAGGGGCTTTAGAATCAGAAAAACCTACCTCCCAACTTGGGCCCTGCTGCTTCTCCCCTGCCCATGAAGAGGCTACTCATCTTCATTGAGCCTCAGTTTCCTCATCCGTAAAATGAGTATAAGCAAAACTTCCGTCATGTTGGTAGACACTGAATTCAAGTTAGCTCCATCACACACACACACACACACACACACACACACACATTTCTTCTGTTTTCCTTAGAGATCTCTGGGCCTCACAACCACTGGGTATTCCATTACAATCTTTCCTGATCTTGGAGATGTGGAATTAAGAGGAAGGACAAGGATGACATTACTTTTCCTCTCCAGCTCCAAGGACAGGGGCAGAGGTGACCGTGGAAAGAGTGCTACAAATACTGAGGAAGGGTCCCAGGACAAGAGAGCTCTGTTCTTCTCTAGAACTTTTTTTCTATGAAATAGGAGTTACATCAGTCATGTTGCAACAGTCTCAGCAAAACAGGAAAAGTCCAGGGTGCAAATGGCAGAGCTCCACAATTGGGAGGATTGGGGGCAGGGAGGGAGTGGTTCAAAGACAAGAGCTTATGTTTTATTAAATCACGGCTAGAAACACAATGATGGCTTCCCAAATATCTTTCCCTCATCCTCACCCACATAAGGGAGAGGAACACACACACACACACCACTTTATTGAGGTATGATTGACATATAAAAATGGAAATCATCACCATGATCTATGCCATAAAACTATTTATCATCTTGAAAAGTTTCCTCTCTACCTTCTTATTTCTTATTAATATTATTTTAAGTGTCCCTACCCCTGTCGCCAATACTGTCAAAGTGGTTCTAAGACAGTGCCAGAGACAACATCAGATTTCTTCAGAACTCAGATGTGTGTTACTTCAAGAATATAAGGTGAATCATTTGTTATCCCCTCGCCCCTCCTTTCCAAATAAAAGTCCAATTAAGAGAAATGATCCAGGCGCCGCAGTTTCCTAATTTGCTATGTCAGAAGCAGACAAGGAGATGCCTTATCTACAGATCCAGCCCTTGGACAATTTTAATAATAAAGTTTTTCCTCACCAATAAAAAAAATTTTTTCCTCATACTTTCCATCTTTTATTTCCATCTCATATTAGAAAGAGAAAGCAAGAGAGAAGTTTCCAACTCAACTCAAAAGAAAAAACTTTTTAAAGCTACTCTTCTCCTGGGGAAAATTTTCTTGCCAATTAAGTATGGCTTCAGCATCCTATTCTGACTTCCCAGATCATCTGACATTAGAAATATTCCCAGACCCACATCAAGATCTGGCAGATCACCAGAAGACAGCACACCACACAGGTCAAGTTATCTGTAGAATCAGAACAAAAACATTTCTAAAATTTACTCTCTTCAGTGATTCTCTTTGGGTGACACAATGTTAAAAGGATATTCCTGAACAATTGTTCAACCAGGTAAGCAATCATTGAACCATTAATTCCTGCTTCTTTATATTTTTACAGTTGCTTTCTTTTATTTCTTTTTTTAGTTTTCAGGGTTGTACATCAGACTTTACTAACTTAGAATTCATTCATTGACAAAAAAAATCACAGATGTCAAAGAGAAACCTTTAAGCAACTGGGTTTTTTTTGTTTTGTTTTTTGTTTTTCCCTGTATTGCCTGAGTTAGACACTCCCACTCCCAGAGGAATTAGGTACTTACTTGGATTGTTTTGGGTAAGAGATGAACATCCAAGGTCCTGGAAGAATTTTGAGTCCGGTCCACCTCTCCAAATCCCAAGAAACTTTGCTAAAAATGCTCAGAATTTGATTTCACACTAGGGTGAGTTGAGGAAACAGGGGGGTGAGGAGGAGGAGGAGAGAGTTCCAGCAAAAGCCGTGGATGATCACAGGCAGCCTTCCGGCCCTAGTTGAAGCATCTCTTCCCTTGGCTCTGTGCCTCATGGACACAGATTAGTCATTAACAATCCTTCCCTGCTAAATGATATAAACATTGAAAGGAACCTTGGGAAAGCCTAGAGATTCCCAGAACAAACCAAGAGAGCACCAGAGTAGGAAACATGACCAGGCCAGTAGCCCTGCGGCTCACCTTTTAAAACCTGTTCCATCAGCTGTTCTGCGGGCTCCTGAGTACCCACAGGTCTGCCATCATCCTCCCGTCTCTTTATAATTTGTTTTCACAGGAGCTAGAAACCATCGGCCTTCTTGACTCTTCCCTCTCCCTGGCCTCCCATATCACGTAATAACAGATTTTGTTGATTCTATCTTTGGAATGTCTCTTACTTCCAACTGACCCCACTGCCCTGCGATGTTGAGTCTACCACAGCTTCCTTTCTGAAGAATAACATTGGTCCCGTCCCTCCATTCTCTCCTCTCCTCTTTTTCTGACTTCCAAAACTGTAGAGCAGCAGAGAACACAGGGTCTGGCCAGATGTACTCATTAGTCAAAACCGGAAGCAAGACATTGGCCTCTCTGACTCCGGGTTTCCTCATCTGTAGAATGGATAGATATAGAGAAACTCTCTCATGGACTGCAGTGAAAATTAATAGCATGGTAAGTAGCTAAAATGTTTAGAAAAGTACCTAGCATATCAAGCACTTGATAAATTTTGGCCATTGTTATTCCTTTTATTTTGGGTTGAACAAACATGGGTGGATTGTCTGCCTACTACGTGCTCCGCAACTTGAAAGGTGTTCTCCTAATCAAAACTCCCTCATGGGTTCTCACTGCCTAAAACTCAAACATAAAATGCCAGACATCTAGGGCTCGGTGGTAGAGCATTTGCCTAGCATGTGTGAGGCACTGGGTTCGATTCTCAGCACCACATATAAATAAATGAATAAAATAAAGGTCCATCAACAACTAAAAAAGAAAAAAAAATTTGCAGACATCTGGAAACCCATTCACCCCCAACCATCTAGACCTGATCTTTCTAGAATTTTCTCACATCCTGTCTCTTCAGTCCCCAGCCTCTGCCCACCTATACCAAGCTCTCCTTCCTCCCTGCCTTTGTCCAAGCTTTTCCTTTCAAATAATCCTTAAATTTCCTTCCTTTCACATCCACACTTCTTCCAGGCATGGAACAAAAGCTGGGTTCTCCCTAAAGCCAGCCCCATTCCTCATCTGCCCCTACTCTGCACCAAGCTTCTCTGACCCTTTCTTTGTGTGTAGTTCCCTTACCATCCCTCCTCTTCTGACCTTGAATGCTATAGTTTTCTACCATCTCTTTTACAAGAACAGCAGACAGGCATGGTAGCAGCCTTGGCTTGGTGTCCATCCTTGGCTTGACATAGCACCTATCCCAGAAGTATTGTGTCACCCTTTGTTAACTCAATCAATCAAACAGCTGGGAAACTAACAACTCCCCAAAGTGGAATAGCTGTGTGTGTGTGTGTGTGTGTGTGTGTGTGTGTGTTTTCCCAGTGTAAAGTCAGTTAAGTAATAGATCTACATTCAAATCTGTTAGGAATGTTATCATTTGTTCCTCTTAGGAAACAGCTTCTGTAGGTGCTACAGGTTCACATTCTCCACTCCATGGGTTCCCAGGTCACTGCACCACCTCCTTCTGCCCTGCCAATTCTCCCTCCCTCGTTTGAACAGGCTTTGACGATAAGAGCTCACATTGTGATTTCATTGGCTCTAGCCACAGTGGAGGTGATAACCATCAAAGACACAGACTCTTGAGCCAACCACCTGGGTTCAAATCCCAGCTCTGCCACTTACGAGCTGTGTGACCTTAGACTTTAGGCTTTTATTTACACCTCTTTGCCTCACTCTGTATTTTATGGGGTGATTATAAAGATTAAATGAATCAATATATATATGCCGAGTGCTGGTACATGGAGGGAATCCCACATACAGAAGGTGCTGTGTACACATTATCTCTTTGTATTTTCTCTGGACATTTCAGCGCTAACATATGCCATGAAGAAAGACGGTGTCCATTCTCTGGATTTCTGACTGTGTACAACACTGGGCATGATAAATGTGCCTTTTCAAAAATTTCAACAATTATTTGGGTTTTTTTCATACCATAAAATTAATACATTAGAAAAATCCTTAAATTTCTTTTTTTAAATATCTTTTTGGTTGTAGATGGACACAGTATCTTTATTTTTATGTGGTGCTAAGGATCGAACCCAGTGCCTCACAAGTGCAAGGTGTATGCTCTACCACTGAGCCACAACCCCAGCCCTTTAAATTTCTTGAAACCTTCTCACCACCTCTATTACCATCACGCTGGTCTAAGCCAGCTTGCTCTCACACAGATTCCTGCCATAAGCTCTTAACTAGTCTCCCAGTTTCTGTGTTTGTACTCTACAATTTATTTTCAGCACTGGGGCCAGAGTGGTCCTATTTTTAAAAGAGGGGGGGACATGCCATTTACTCAACAGCCCTCAAGGAATTCCATCTTTCTCAGAATAATAGCCAGACTTGTTACAGTGACCCAGGAGGACCTACATGTCCCTCCACCTCCACCCCCTCCCACCCTCTCCCTTACCACTCTGTCACTTGCTCCAGCCACACAGCCTCCTTGCCATTCTTTGAACCCATAAATCACAGTTTCTCCTCAGGGTCTCTGCACCATATTTCACAGCCTGGAAGCCTTGGGCCCTGAGCCCTTCCATTGCTTTCTACTCAGGTTTCTGCTCACTTTATCAGAGAGACTTTCCTGGACACACCTTGCACAACATGCTTCAGTCTTACCTTACTTTATTTTCCCTCATTGCACTTAGTACCACTTGGCCTACATTTACTTGTTCAATGTGTGTCTGGCCACATAGAACATAAATAAATTATCTCTCCTTGATAATCAGACACCTGATACAATGTGCTAAGTCAGAGAACCCCACAGCCTAACCACTGGAAGCTTACCTTCGATTGATAGAGGGAAGTGCTAAGAAAAACTAAGAACAGCAATAATAGTAATAAAGTAAATCACATAAAAAGTTAACAACTAATTGGGACAAGATGGAAATGTCCAGAGCATCATAAAAATTGTATTAATCATGACAAACAAGAAATATGCATTCATGGGAATAATTCTATCCAGCCCAGGAAGAAAGAAGGGAAACAGGAACGTGCATTTATTGAGCACTTAGTATTTTCCTGGTAGTCTATTAAGCACTGGCTACATTCAAGAGTGAACAAAATGGTGTGGTTTTCACCTTCACGCAACTTGCACCCTAGTTCAGGATACAATAAGTCAATAAGAACGACACAGATGATACTATAATGTTTCTTGGGCAACATATTATGAAGGGTGTGTGTGATGGCATTTATCAGGGAGACTCATGTCAGAGAGGTTAAGAAAGGCTTCCTCCAAGAAGTGGGGTTTTAGCAAAAGACCTGAAGGACCTCAGAAATATTAAGATCAAATAAAATTGAAGAAAAAGGAAAGCACTTGGGAGTAGTGGAAAGGCAGAGGCAAAGGATCTGATGCAGGAGGTAGTTTAAAGAGCCCCATGAAATAAAGAGAAGACCAGCGCTTATAAAGTATGAGTGTGAAGAAAGAATGAGGAAATAGAGGTAAAACAGGAGGTTAGGGTGGTGATGTGCTGGTAAATGATTAACAATTGCTTTCAGAGAGATGGGTTCACACACATAACACACACACATACATTTTAAATTCTGTTGATATAACAAATGTAACACCTGTTTTATAAATAATAGTAAAATAAGCAAATTTGGGATGGTATAAATTCCATATGCCAATTGAGTCCACTGGGAATGCTTTTGTGGAGTTTTGCTGAACTCTTATCCTTGAAACCAGCTTATGGTTGCACTTCAACTGTGATTTGATAAATGGAATTACATCTCAGTCCAATAATTCTTTTCCCAATATAGTTACTATCCTGAATTTTATACGTGATCTACTATTGTTAAAGGTTAACTAGCGCAAATTATTTTCTTTAAGCTGAACTCATTTTATTTCCAATACTAATTATGTTGGACATCCACTTGTTCCTCAATGATGTGAACAGCTTCAATTATAATTTTCAAGTGGTGGAGGAACATTTCCTCTGTTTTTGTTGGTGAAAATAGAAGTCACAAACGTTTTATGTTTAATCTGCGTTAACAGTCTCTCCATCATTTAGACCAGAAGGCAACAAACTTTTTCCTAAAGGGTCAAAATAAATGTTTTAGGCTTTGTAGATCATATATAGTCATATTTTAAATGTCTTTTCATCTTATAGACTGTATAATTGTGCCTGCCCCCTTCATTTGTTGACCCTTTAGACCAGTGTCTCTTGATATAGAGAAGGGATCAAGAGATATTTAGCAATATCTGGAGACGCTTGTGGTTGTCACAATTTGGGGGACATGTCATTGAGTAAGTAGAGGCCAAGGATGTTACAATTCATGGAACACTCCTCCAATAGCAAAGAAGGAATTATCCAGGCCCAAATGTAAATATTGTTCAAGTTTAGAAACTCTGCCTTAGACAATAAAATACAATGCATCCAGTCTTGGGTTTGTAGATTTTGCTCACTGCCAGATAGTAAGTATTCTCTGTGGCAAATTTTAAACTTCCGATGTATTGTTACCAAACACAAAGTCAGGAAGAGATGCACAGTGACCACCATTACATAATATTTCCACCATATGGATCCAATAGGTCTAAATAACCAGGAGAGCAAAGATAATTATATAGTTAAATAATTAAGATGGGATTAACTTAGAGTGTTTGACTTGTTTTTAAAACATTTTTCATTGTAAGTTTATGTCATTTAATTTTTGATACGGACAATTTTTAACAACAAGCTCAGAAGTTCCTGAAAATTTAACAATAAATTCTCAAGAGGCCAGAGAAGCTGGCTCCAGCACACCCCTAGGAGAATGAAGCCTTCTTCCTCTTGTTATGTTATCTCCCTTTTACAAAATAGAAGACTAAGCCTGAAAGATACAGTGACTCATCAAAGTGACAAAGCAGGGTTTTAAATTCAGGTTTGTTTTCCCCAAAGCTGAAATACCTTCTCCTATCAACCTCCACTTTCCTCCACTATCAA